CCTAAACCCTAAACCAAGCCCCCAAATCCGAGAATTTCAGGTTCGACAGTCCCTTCGCCGCGTCTTGACTATCGGGGAGGCCCTGATGACGGCGACCTGCGCACAGATTCCGGGCCGATGCCGGAGCTTTAGGGTTTTAGGGTTTAGCGTTTAGGGGCCTAAGGGGCTTTAGGGTTTAGGGTTTAGGGTTTTAGGGTTTAGGGTTTAGGGTTTAGGTTTTAGGGTTTTTGGGGTTTAGGGTTTAGGGTTTTAGGCTTTGGGCAGGGATTAGGGAGTACGGTTTGATTAAGCTTCTGCAGTTTAGGGTCCAAGATGTCCAATGAGCGGACAAAGTAACGAGTTTCACTTCAGCCCTTCGATCTAGGTGTCCGGCAGCAGAAGCTCCTCATGAATATTTTACAGTGACAGTCAAGGATCCTATAGGTAAGATACTACAACAGAACTGAAGATACATAATAGAGTAGAATATGTAACATATTATGACATCCTGTTAAATACTGTAATATAATGTAAGGCAAATATAATTTGTTCTCATATTCTAATATATTATATTATACTCTAGAATAGAATATACTATAATATAATATAATAAAATATAATATAATATAATATAATATAATATAATATAATATAATATAATAAAAATATAATATAATATAATATAGCACAATATCGTACAATATAGTATGATATAGTCAAATCTAATACAATATAGTATATTATAGCATAGTATAGTATAATATAAAATAATGTAATGTAAGGCAACATGATGCAAATAATATAAAGCGAAACAAAACGAATATATAATATTGTTTTATGAAATACAATACACTGGGATATGACATGATATCACATCATACAATAGATCATAAAAACCACATAGTATACCATAACAAGACAATAGTATAATATGATACAAGATTAGATAATATAAAGTAATAATATAATTTGTAAAAGAATGCAAAAAGAATACAAGTATGATATAAAATAGTCTAATATGTTATATTCAATTACAATATAATAAACAACATATAATATATAGTATACAATGGAAAAAATATATTCTAATATAACATAGTATAGTGTTATATAATATGATATAGTATCATGCGATATGATATAAATAAGATGTGATGTGGTATGTCATGATATGGTGTGATATCATATAATATAATGAAATAAACACGTAAGATAACATCGCAAATATATAATGATTAACAAAGTAAAGTAGAAAAGTATAACTTACTATAATATCATATACTAAAGATATAGTATACGACAATAAAAAAGATAAAGTATATTGCAATATATTATATCATCGTATAGTAAGCTGTAATGTACTATAATATAACATCATTTGTCTGGGGTGCGCGAAGGATGCTTCTTTAAGTCGTACTGCTTTGACTCGTGCTTTTGCGGAATAGAAGCCGCAAAATTTCCAAAAGAAACCTTAGCCGAAAACTGAGCTTAACTGATAGAAAAATCACATCCAATAATCGAGGTGTGCGCAGCTTTTGCTCAAGCAGAGCACGAAATGCCTTTCTTATGGAAAAATATCCCGCCTTGTCCAAAAAGTAGGATTTAGTTGATATGTTGTTGGTGTATTGTTGGGATTTTGTTGGGGGGTTTTGTTGGGATTTTGTTGGGGGGTTTTGTTGGGATTGGATCGGGGTTTTGTTGGGATGTTGCTGGAAAGGTGCTCCCGCCGCAAAACTCCCGCAAAATCCCTGCAAAGTTCTGCTATAGCTCCCAGCAAAGCCCTGCCTCCTTCCGTGCACTGTTGGGCTCATGAACCCTGCCAGGAGCCCCACACCGGCCAGGTGATCTTATGTTCTTAGGAGCTTTAGCAGCTGGTGACAACCCTAGGTCGTAATACTGGAGCATCTTAGTGCTCAGCCTTGACAAGCCTTCAACCGAGCACAATGCTGGGATTTGGTTGGGGTTGTGTTGGGGTCGTGTTGGGGACCTTCAAGGGTCCTGGTGGTACCAGTTACAAGTTGAAGCGGTTAGCTGTTAAAGCGGTACCATTGGCGTTTCAATGCATGTAACATAATAAAATATAAGTATAGTGTAGTATAGTATAGTATAGTATAGTATAAGATAAGATCAGGTAATACAGTATTATCTCATGGCCACCTCCAAGTTGACGGGGTATAGCCATTTTTCTTGTTCTGCGGGTGCTCCAGGCTTCCATTCTACCGACCCGTCACTCTGAAGCTTGCCGGACTCAGACCCAGCAACAGCACCGCAAAAGCCCAGGATATTGAGCCGCTTCCCAGAGCTGGAGATCCACAACCTCTACGGCCCCACGGAGGCTGCGGTCGGATCTCGAAAGCCTCAGAGGGCCTTGAAGTCCCGACTTGCCCGGGTACCGTAGGGGCCTTAATACGGTAATTACCTATGCTATTTTGAGTGGTCCTTGTTGTATTTCTAGTATAATGGGCCCAAGACCCTATTCTAATGATTAAGGCCCCTACAAAATTTCAACATGTCAGAATTGTGGCCCCTTTCGGCAGCATTGTGTGCCCAGCTAACGTTTTTTCTCCCGTGGTATCTTTGGTTTGCATTTCTTTCAGTTCCTGAGGCTTCTCGTCATACAGCCCCAACTCCATCAGACTCGAAGCGGTTCTCCAAAAGCCTTAGCCCTATTTCCCTACACCCTACACCCTAAACCCTAAAACCAAAACCCCAGACCCCAAACCCTAACCCCCAAAGCCTAAACCCTAAACCCTACTACATTCCTAAGCCGTGAGACCTCGCAGGCGAGCGTGGGCGTTTCTCACTTCGAGGTAACGGCCGGCAACGTGGAGAGCTTGGGGACGGTGGTGCCTATCGGAAGGCCTGCCTTTTTTTTGTCGCTCAGGTTAGGTCCTGGGGTTTAAGTCTTTGGGGTTTAGGGTTTAGGGTTTGCTTTTGTTTCGGGTTTTGGGATGCTGGGTTTCGGGTGTAGGGTTGATTGTCGGAAAGAGTGATACGCTAGACAAGTAGATGAAAGCTTTAATCCAAGCTGCGAAGCTCACGGATTGCATAAGTTAGGTGGTCCATTTTCGCCTTTTCAGAACCCTAAATCCTAAGCCCTAAACCCTAAGACGGTTTAGGGTTCAGGGTTTAGGGGTCTAAGTTTCCTGGACAGCTTGCAGATGCCCCTTACGAACCTTTGAGCAGTAGGAGAGACACCCTCAGTCAGCTTTTGAATGCTCATCGTGTCCCCAGGGTTTAGGGTTTAGGGTTTCGGGTTTAGGGGTTTAGGGTTTGGGGTGTTCTCTATGTTATGTATATTGAACGCCCTTGTCCTCAAGGCCATGTGAGAAATGATAGAAGCCTGAATGCAAAAGACATTACTCCTCGAGTGTTCCTGTGATAAGTATGGTTTAGGGTTTAGGATTCAATATACCCCCAAGTCAAATTCCAATCATCAAGGCCACGACAGGTTCTGGCAGCAGTCTACCAGTCTCTACTTGGAGGATCATGGGACTTAATTAGTAAGTAAGGTTATAAGTCCCTTAGTTGGAGTTATAAGTATAGTTACCTTAGTTATAACCCTACTTACTAAGTCCCATGATCCTTTAAGTAGCCCTTTGCGAGGCCCTTCTCGTACGTCAACTTTTGCGTCTTCGACCCGAGCAGTTACGCAGCCGCTTGCCATAAACTCGGACTTTTCCATGGGCTGTCGCTCAGAGGGTTTAGCAAAGGGCCCTATAGGGCCCTACACGTAAGCCCTCAGTCGTTCATTTATGTTTCGGGTAGTTGAGGTGCGAAAGGTTAGGATTTGGTCTGAGGAGCTTGAGGACCTGTCACACGTTGTGAAGAGAGGGTTCCTAGGAGGTGAGCGGGTAGGGTGTTGGGGTTTTTGTGACGTTGCAGGCCTTTTCGGGCGTCTTGGAGTGGTTTCGAGCAACACCTTGCAGCCCAAAGCTTTCAGAATTTGGAAATCCCACCCCCGAAAACTGCAGAAGGAGAAGCGTCAGGGTGCAGGGCTAAACCCTAAACCCTAAACCCTAAACCCTAAACCCTAAACCCCTAAACCCTAAACCCTAAACCCTAAACCCTAAACCCTAAACCCTACACCCTAAACCGTGTTCAGGGGTGCCCCGGTGCCCCGGGAGCCTTCATTACGCCATGTCTCAGTTCTCGGAGTTCTCGGACCCTGGGTCCCTTCACATCCTCAAGCGCCTCCCGTCTTGAGGGTGGCATCATAGGGTTTAGGGTTTAGGGTTTAGGGTTTAGGGTTTAGGGTTCCGAAAATTCGGGTATCCTATTTGGGGGTCCTTAAAATAAGGATCCTACTATGGTACTCTATTAGGGTCCCCTATTTTTTGAAACCCCCACATGTAGCCGGAAAGACCTACCTCTTTTAGGGTTCCTTATTATGGCGTCTATATAGAGTTCCCTAAACCTTAAACCCTAAACCCTTATTGTGGCGTCTATATATATATATATATATATATAGTTCCTTTAAAAAGGTAAAAGGAAAACTCTTGGATCCTCAGGTGCCCTAAAACCCCGCAAAGCCCCAAATCCCCAAACGATGAGCCCAAGCCTCCACGCTCCCCCTCAACTCCAAGAATATAGAAGCCTAACTATATATATATATATATATATTATACATATTCTATATATATATACTACATATGTATATATATATATATATATTACATATATTATACTATATTATATATATATATATTAAACTAATTACCAATATTATTCCTTAGGGTTCCTTATTATAGTAGCTGCACGATAAAGGAGCCCAAAACCCTATTCTCATTCTTCAGGCCCCTACATTACCCTAAACCCCTTTCATGCACCCCTACACCCTATAAAGCCCCCTCCCCACTTTACAAAAAATGACCAAACCACACTAAACCCTAAACCCTAAACCCAACGGAGAGCCAGGACGGAGGCAAGATTGAGGAGAGCAGCCTCAAGTTGGCGGCTCCCGGCACCATCGGTGAACTCTTCATCGGAGGCCGCAGCTCAGGGCCTTTGTTACTGTAGGATCTGTTTCTTTAATGTCGTTAAGTTTTTGGGTTTGTGATTAGGGGTGTAGAGTAGCTCCGGGAGCAGTCGTAGTGGCAGGTAATATGAGTAGTCATGGCAGTGATTGCGTTCATCGCCCTTTGGAGAGAACATGATTGCAACAGGTGCGAAAGACCATTTAGGTTGAGGTGTATACTAGATTGACAGATAGGTGGACAGGCAGGCTAAGAGGCAGACAAGGCAGACAATAGAAGACCCTGATGGCAAGAAGCATAGGATGTAGTTAACAGCATGCAAAGGACAAGATGGGCGTTCACCCTGCTAAGTGGCTTTCTGCAACAAGTGTAGTAGTCCGGTCTATAGATAAAGGATTTGTTGTTGGTTGTTTTTTCTGTGCACGCAGGAAGAGCAAAGGACACCTTAAGACTACACCCAGGTTTTTCTAGAAAAATCTAGAAAAACCTAGTTTTTCTAAAAAAGCCCATGAAGCCGCACACCCTGAACTCCAACTCAGCCAAGCTCTCTCCCCGAGAACTGCCCACAACCATCCCGAGCCCCAAACCCCAAACCATTTAAATATGGGGGCCTTAATAACTAGAATAGGGTTTTGGGGGTATATTATACTAGCTATAATAAGGAACCCACAAGACTCCCCGAATCTTTCAGGGGATTGCCTGGCCAGCGGGTACATCAAGAACCCCGAGAAGACCGAGGCAGAAAAACCCGCGAAAAAAAAGAAGAAGGAACGCATCTTGCACAGGGGGTTTCCTCATGTGAAATACGTGTTACGATCCTTGCTGCTACTACTTGCCGCGTTGCATTGCCATCATCATGGGCTCTTTCGGGCTGCAGGGCTTCACGCTTTAGGCTTGCAGGTTTTAGTGTGCAGAATGTAGGGTTTGGGGAAGTAAGTTTGTGTGCAGGTCTGCTGGGCCAACTCGAACCTGAAATCCTAAGCCTCCGAACCCCAACTATGTATCGTCTACTTGTCGATCTATGTATGTGTCCGTCTGTTTGTCTGTATATCTATCTGTTTGGTTGTCTGGCTGCCTATCTGTGTGGTTCTCTGGTTGTCTCTCTCTCGATCCATCTGTCTATTTGTCTTGACCTATCATAGACCCATCCCCGAAGCCCTAAACCCTCGATCTATCGATCTTTCGCCCAAAGCATTCCCAAAGCAGCCCGGTGCCCGGAGGCCGCGTTCTTCAGCTTCCCGGGCCTCTGCCCCAGAGCTCCCGAGGGGGCGTCGCCCTTCACGCTCTACAAGACCGGCGACCTCTGCAAGGCCCCCCCCCCCCCCCCCCGGTTTGGGCCTCGCTTTGTTGTTTAGAGGTTTGGGTTTAGGGCTGGAGGGTTCTATAGGATTTAGGTTTGGAGGGAACCATAGCTACTTGTGCTGTCAGAAGTGCCAGTATGCTTGAATTGCAGCGAGGTTTCGTTCTAGATGGCGTGGTTCAGGGGTTCAAGTTTACGGGCTTCGGGCCTGTGCAGGTGGAGAATGGCGTATTCCACTACATGGGCCGCAACGACTTTCAGGTCAAGATCAGCGGCGTGCGCGTCGAGTGTGAGGAGGTGCGGCTGAGTTTGGGGTTCGGGCTTGGTTGGGTTTGGGAGGTTGGGTTCAGGCTGGTTGAGGTTGGATTTGACGGTGGGCTGGGAGGGACAACAGTGAAATTGCAAGTGGCTTTGAAATGCCAGGTGCTGATGTTCAAGGTCGGTCGTATGGCTTATACCTTCATGATCTCTTGAGAACTCGTGCGCGTTGAGAATTGTAAGGCCTCGTTCCGAGCTCCTGTCTGCAATTTCTGGTGATCCCAACAAGAGGACAAGGCTTTTGTTTGTGGGGCTAAGGCGTAGACCCGAAGCTCGTGAGAGAGAGCTCCACTGTCCCATAGCTACGGGTGTTCGAGGCCACGAATTGCCCCATGCAAAGTCTGTGCTTGAAGCCAGGGTTTTGTTTTGATGCGTCTTACACTCATATCCCAACGCTGCGGGCCTAAACACATTCGGGTTTCCGAAAATAGGCGACCCTAANNCTTATTATAAGGACCCCCAAAGTAAGGTACCCCTAATTTTTGGAAGCTCCCACATCCCCCGCCCAATACCTTCGTCATAGACAGCCCGGCATAGGATTTCAGAAGGCCATTGGGCCCTTGAACCTTGTTTACCGCCCCATAGTAGTTCCTTTGCTGGATTACCTTCCAGGATTCTAAATATGAACCCCAAAAAGGAACTACGATGGGGCCTATGGGTAGTGCTTGAGTTCTGTCAGGTGTCTGCAGTGCTGAAGACCCACCCGGTGGTCGGAGATGCTTTGGTCACTGCTTTCGATGGGCCGCTCGGCTCTTTCAGATGAACTGCCCTTTAGGGTTCAAGGTTTTTGGGGGTTTGGGGTTTCCGAGGGTTCGGGTTTAGGTGCAGGGTTCCGGCATCTCTCTGTCCCCCAAGTATCACTTGCACGAGACTGAGCAAGGAATCCATCAACGGTTGGCAACTTCTTTGTTGAATGTGCCAGCTTGAATAACTTGCAGCGTGCCTCACTGTCCGCAATAGGAAAGCATGCCGTTCCACGGACATTTCGAACCTGCGATTCAATCTTTCGTCACAGCTTCCACCCTCCACAGTCTAAGACATTACTCTGAACCTGCACACCCCGAACCCTAAACCCTCAGCGCTGAACCCGGAACCCTAGACCGTAACTTTCAAGGCCTTTCGGAAAGGCGTTGGCGGCCTACGTTGTTACCACTGATACAGCGGACTGGTCACAGGACGCCCATAGGGAACTGGGTCCAGGCCTAGGATTTAGGGTTTAAGTTTCTCACTATAGCTTTCAGAGCGTTTTCGGCTTTGCTTAGACTGCAGGTTCAGGGTTTGCTCTAGGGGCAGCTGGCTTAACATAGAGTGTGGCCTCGGGCTTCCGTAGCCTACATATGCCCACTGCGCGCACGCTCAACCCACACTCACAAGGCCAAGCCTCTCCAATCAAGCTCTATGCCGTAAGCCCCAATCCCTGAACCTCAGCAGTTTTGTGATCGCTGATGCGATCGGCGCGGCAGTGTTACATGCGCAGTGGCTACGGTTCCTCTGAAGGCACAACCCTAACCTCTAAAGCCCGAAGCCAAGAAGCCGAAGTCTGACACTTCGGGTCAGGAGATGAGCCAGGGTGCGCAAGACGAGGACGAGATTCTGAACGTCAGCAGCTGGGGCGCCGTCTACGACGAGATGCACCCTTGGGGCACCTACGTAGAAGTCCGAACTCAGCTCCCAGTCGCAGAGCCCGGGCTCCCCGGAAACCGATGAAAGCGTAAGTCCCAGATCTTCGCCCGGGGAGGGTTTAGGGTTTAGGGTTCAGGGTTTAGGGTTTAGGGTTTAGGGTTTAGGAGCCCAGACATGGACCGGTATTCGAGCATATGGGCAGTTCTCTAAATTGGGATCCCTTTGTAGGGCCCAAGTTTGGTACGGAACCCTTATACAAAAAGGATCCAAAAGAACCCGAATTTAGAGAACTACCCATATCGAGATAAGAAAATAGACAGTGGCATCAAACAAGCTCTTGAAGAGTTTCTCGCAGGTACAAGGAGACCGACAACAGCGTCTCCGCCCAGGAGTGTTTCGGGGGTTCTTGCTCGAATTGGTTACAAGATTTCCAATCTGATGATCTTATCAGGACCCTACACTCAACTGGAGTGGCTACACGGACACTTACTCGCGCCGGCCTCATATCGAGCCTGTCATCAAGGAGTGGGTGGAGTGGAGCTGTGAACAGGCGCGGTTCCGCTAGGTTCAAGAGGGCTCTGGCAATACCTCACACTGGGCGGTCTTGAATCCGAGGCGAGTTTGTCGTCTTTGGGTGTGCACTGTGTGCACGGTCGTCTATTTAAACCTACATGCCGCTGGCGGACTTGTCAAAAAAAGCTTCCACGCGGAGGCTGATTCGTTCTGACTGCAACTCTGCGCGAAGCCCTAAGCCCCCAGTCCAGTGATGCTGTCAAGTTTGTGCCAAACCCTAAGCCTTTAAATCCTACAGTTGGAGGCTTCAAGGCTCTGAGGATGGCTTGGATACTTCTGTTAAGGGTTCCGTGGGCAAACGGCCCGAAGTAGGAGAAGCACGGTGCATTGAAATCTGAAGCACCATGAACAAGCCCGAAGCACCCCGAAACGTCGGGAATCCCCAAGGCATGAAGACGAGCTCCCCCGTCTGCATGCCCTCCTTGGATCCTCCGATATCACCTACCCTACAACACAGAAACCTGCGAATGCACTCCTAAATCCTGAACCTCAAGCCTTCCACCCTAGAACGAGAGCCCTAAATGCCAACATCCGAAAAGGTCTCCGCTCATGCAGACCTCCTGAGAGAGGGGAGCTGGCGCAAGGGGAGGCCAACCATCACCGAGCTCGGCTGTGGCAGCCTGGGCAGCACCTTAGGACCTGGTGTGTCAGGATCGAGGTGGTGGGGGTGCCCAGGAAGCTCCGTGAATCCGCTGATGCTTGCTGCTGCCCCGCAGTACGCTTTGAGCTAGTAATTTGCGGCATGTCAACGAAAGCGCTGCCAAGTGAGAAATCTGGGTCCGGCCTCCCTAACCCCCAAGCACCACTTGGAGAGCTGAGATCGGGGCCCGCCATTGAAAACCCAAAAAGTTTAGGGGCTAGGGTTTAGAGTTTAGGGCTTCACATGGTTGTGGTAGTGGAACGACCACTGCTACACTCATTGTTGAAGCTTCGGGTTTAGGGTTGAGGATTTAGGGGTTTAGGGCTTCGGAGATTCAGAGTTTTAGGGAGCACAGAACCCAACTCCCTAGACTTCCATCCTACAGCCGTTTTCAAGGCCATGAGCATATTAGATGGGTACGGCACCCTTATAAAAAGGACCCTAAAAGGGACCCCGATATTGAAAACTACCGCAATGCCAGCATCGCACATTGCAATGTTGATGTACCAGCACGAACCCGGTATACCAGCAGAACCACAGTCTTTGAACCAAAGAATACAGAAATATACAAGAACAATCTAATGCTGTTTTTTTCTTGCAGCCCTTGTTCCCGCTACCTATGTTGCCATCAGTCGCCGAAGTAGCTTCGGGATTAACTGTGGTGCCGGTTGGAAACCAAACCCAAAACCCTAAACCCTAACTCTAAACCCCGAAACCCCTGACCCCCCAAAACCCAAAACCCTAAACCCCACACCCAGGCAACGGCATGCTTCTGTTCCGGCTGGCACCACTTCTTGGCCAGACTGGGAGGCATCCTTCGGGTCTCGGACATTCAGCGTAAAACAGTGGCCTTAATGACTAGGTTCCTGAGTAGTACCCTTTTGCCCTTTTTATTGTATTGTTCCCTTATTAAAACTGAACAACAGGAAAAGGGTACCCTTATTATTAAGGGGTCGCTCAGGAACCTAGATGATTACTTATATTATTTTGGGGTTCCTTATTATAATTGTAGTACAATATACCCCAAACCCCTACTCCAATCATTGAGGCCCCTACGGTAGCATGGTAAGTCAGGACCCATAGAAAGCAACGACCAATGCTGAAGCATGTTACTTTGGGGTTTTACGGGGTTTATAAGTGCCAGGCTTTTGGTGAGCATTGCTAAAATTAGCCGCTCGACTGGTCAGCAGTAAGGTCAACAACAATTCCGAGAAAAATCAGTGTGAAAGGCGGTGAAAGGTCATAAGAGCAAAAGTAGCGTTACCAAGTGCTGTCGCTTTCAGATTTGCGAGTTCACGGACTACGAACGGATAATTAGGTTCCGTCTTAAGTCTTTTCGTAGAACCTAGTTAGTATGATGGCTGATGTATTGAATTGCCATGATTGTGCTTTTGGCTGCATTTCTACTGCTGTTGTGTGCTTGCATTCAGTGCTTCTTGTTTGCAAACCCGTTTAGTGGACCTTCGGCAACGTTCCCAGACTGGTGGATTTGTTTCGCAGTGCACATGAGTGGCGTTTTGAAACAGGGTCGCTTTCATCTCCCAAGTACCTGTTTTGAAGGCAGGAGGTCATAGCAAAGGTTTCCTTTTCAACAGCACCTTACCTCCAACTTCACGGCATTCTCCAAAAGCGAATCTTCCTGCTCTAACACAAAAATCCAAATTTACAAACCCCAAACCCTAAAGCCCAAAACCCTAATCACCCTAGACCCTAAACCCTAGGCCCTAATCACCCTAACAAACCCTAGTCACCCTAAGCCCTAAACCCTAAACCCTAAACCCTAAACCCGAAACCGAAGAGGTACATTGGCACCGACATCTCAACACGGGCCCTGGAGACGG